TAACAGTACTACTTTCCCCCTGGATTCAGTGAAACCGTTCTTATAGATAGAGTATGACATCTGCCAAGTCATTTATAGTACCTGCACATAATAGTGCTGTATCTTGGCGATTTCTGGCTTTTTATGCATGGCCTTGGTTTCCTTACCTACTATCCAAATTTTTTAAGCAAAGACATTAATCAGTCTAAGACAATTAAATAAACCGGCTTTGTTATCTTCCTAGGGATGACTACATCTTCAATTGAATCCATAGTGGAAGCTTTATCCTTGAGATTTTTTCAGTTGGCCAAGCAAAAAGAAGGTGGGTGCATACATGAACAACTTTGAAAAATCAATAACCAGTCTCCATAGACTCACTCATGATATACGTTAAGTAAATCTGAGTGTCTTAATTTTCCTTTACCACAAAATACAACACGGTATTGACGGATCAAGGAGGAGGGTCGGGGGAGTCTGGTGGAACATCTAAACCAGTGTGAATTGATTATAGAACCCAATGATCAATTGCACTGAAACTGAATTTACTACCCCTGATGGTTCCCACGTTTTACTAGGAATGACGACGTGTAACGAACAAAACGGTAGAAACGATTACTTAAAGACAGAGTGTAATTTTAAAAAGTACTAATTAAAGTAGTAATGATGATTACTAAGAAAAATCGTGACGCCTTCGATAAAGATTTCTGATCCGCTACTGCACTACCAGAAAGTATGATTGGGAGGCAACGAAACGGCTGTCACATTGTATAATACACTTCTGACCTCAACAACCGCATCCTCGGTGTCTTTGTACCCTTTCCTTAGCTCCTCTTGCAGCTTACAAAGCTTGCATTTTAAGAGCGATTTTCTATAAAATTCGAACTTCGGCCTGACACGGTACCTCATCGATTTGGCTGATTTTTGGCATGTAGTCTTAGAATGGTGTCCTAAATACTGAATGCATATTCTAAGGTTCGAATTCTCGTTGGTTTCTTGCGATGGACAGTTGTTACAAATTGCGACAGCTTTTTTATTACAAAGTGCGACACGGTTTATTACAAATTGCGACAGGTATTACAAAGTGCGATGGATTTCTTACAAATCGCGACAGGTATTACAAAGTGCGATGATTATTACAAATTGCGACAGTACAGACGTCCGTGAAAACGTCGCTGAAAAATAGACTTCGCATCCTTTTAGACGTTTTCGCGATTATCCCAATTTGCCCTGTTACTTAAAAGAAGGGAATTTTGGTTGGAGCTGAAGAGAGGGGGCCGCGCCCGAGTTCATATTTATCGCCTTGACAGAATTTTCACCTGTAGGAGTGTGATAGTGCAAAATATGTACAAGGAACAATGCTAAATAAACGCTGTATTAACTTACCTGTAGTAACACGCTGATTTGACAGCTCGCCAAATTAGATCTTAAAGTTCCGCCCAAAGTGACAGAAAGTGTCTCACTTGTCCTAGTTTGTCTAAGCCTCAAAAACTCGCTTGAACCACGTAACCCCTCATCGGCCGCAGGCAATAATAAGGCCTAGGGACTAGGCAGTATCCACCCGAGGAATTTTGGTAGTCACGTGACCGTACTCCGTCCGAGCGTCCGTCGGCACCACAGGAGAACCCGATGTGAAATCTCACACATTCTAGCTAATTTGCTAATGTCGGAGCCTACAACCTGATATTGCATATCCATGCTGTGGTCAATTGACAGCTCTCAAAACAGGGTATCCGCTGACCAGTATAATATGGCCTTAAGAAGTAACGTGTTTTGTTAAGTTATCCGCTGACAAGTTACTAGTTTTTCAACTGACGGCAGGCTCAATTCCAAGCGGGATTTCTTTGCAATGGTTACAAGTTCGTTGCTTAAATTAAATTATAAATTTAACAACGGGGGCTTCGCCTTTAGCCTTTGGCTAAATCTAAATTTCTTTTACGCTTACCTGCTGTTATCGTAAGGAGACGGGAAACCAGCAGGTTGGAATAAAACACAGATTCCAAATATCTAAAAGTAAGACAACTCAATCTTTAATTCAGACGCTGATTTCTTTACGTTTTAAATTAACTACATGAAAAAATAAATTGGCCAATAAATCGGCGGCTGCCCATCACCATAAATTGTTCTCTAACCATTCTCAATTGTTTTATTTTATTTCTACAGCTATCATCAGTGATTGTTTGTTCTCGGAGAGGCGGCAAAATAGGTTAATTAATAAATAAGGGCCAAGAAAAAGCTAGCGTTCAAAAGTGATGAGTGGGCTGGTTCGGTTTGTATCAGTTTTCAACGAACGGACAAGAAAGACAGAAATACATATAACGAGTTAAATTCTCCTAATTCACATCGTGATTTTGTTGGGGATGTTTATGGAGTTCGAGCTCCTTACATATTGTTCTTCTATGGCGAAGCGTGGTGAGTCGTATAAAAACTAAGTGCCACACTAGATTAGCAAAATCAAAACACTGTTTATTTCCTGAATCAGAGCAGGCAATAACCGAAATGTTCGGCAAACGTTTTAGTAACTACTTACTTGATTTTTCGCACAATTCACATTACATTTCGTTATCATTTCGTGGCAATGGTCACTCATGAGAAGGTCAGATGGTTGGCAAGTTCTTGTTGCCAAAGATTTTAAATCGTTTTCGTCGTATCACAAGGTAGGTTTTTAGTTAAAGCCGATTTATTAATCTCCAAGCAAATGTGGTCAGTGTTTTCATTTAGCCCGACAAAAATCAATGGGGGCGTCGCGCTTAAGACAATAGTTTTTTTTTGGATCATTATGTAAGTTTGAGATTTCTACTAAAAACTTGCAATATACAATAAGTTGATTGCAGATTCATTTAATTTTCAGGAACCTGCAAAAAACATGCGGGGAGAAGATTTTGAAAAGAAAATGAAAAATCGCAGATATTAATTTCCTCACTGACGAGAAATTTGGGACCAACTAAACCATGTGCGCATGTCTGTGTGTGAGCTCATTATTCATGAGTATTCTCCTAGCGTCTTTTTCGGAAAGCGCCAATGAAGAGAGTTTGGAAAGCAAGAGGACAGGTAAAATGCTGCTAGCAACACAGAAGACCCTATAAGAGTATCCCAGACAAAATGCAACCATCAATATCAGCCACATTTTCTATATAAAGAGCAAACACAAAAGCTAGGTCATATATTAAGGGCTTCCCATGCATCAGGAAATCACCCGGTTCTAGTTTTAAGTGCCTAACAGTACTACTTTCCCCTGGATTCAGTCAAACCGTTCTTATAGATAGAGTATGACACCTGCCAAGTCATTTATAGTACCTGCACATAATAGTGCTGTATCTGGCTTTTTATGCATGGCCTTGGTTTCCTTACCTATTATCCGAATTTGTATACCATTGACATTAATCAGTCTAAAACAAATAAATAAACCGGCTTTGTTATCTTCCTAGGGATGACTACATCTTCAATTGAATCCATCGTGGAAGCTTTATCCTTGAGATTTTTTCATTTGGCCAAGCAAAAAGGTGTGTGCATCCATGAACAACTTTAAGAAATCAATAACCAGTCTCCATAGACTCACTCATGATATAAGTAAAGTAAGTCTTAATTATTCTTTACCAAAAAATACAACACTGTATTGACGGATCAAGGAGGAGGGTCGGGGGAGTCTGGTGGAACATCTAAACCAGTGTAAATTGATTATAAAACCCAATGATCATTTGCACTGAAACTGAATTTACTACCCCTGATGGTTCCCACGTTTTACTAGGAATAACGACGTGTAACGAACAAAATGGTAGAAACGATTACTTAAAGACAGAGTGTAATTTAAAAAAGTACTAATTAAAGTAGTAATGATCATTACTAAGAAAAATCTTGACGCCTCCGATAAAGATTTCTGGATCCGCTACTGCACTACCAGAAAGTATGATTGGAAGGCAACGAAACGGCTGTACATTGTATAATACATTTCTGACCTCAACAACCGCATCCTCAGTGTCTTTGATACCCTTTCCTCCTCTTGCAGCTTACAAAGCTTGCGTTTAAATACATAGACTTCAGGGTCATATCTCCATAACGAATGCATGGCTGCTGAATACATGAGGAGAGACGTTATCTCTAGTTTGGAGATGGTTTGGACCGGTAGTAGGTGTAGAGAGTCAAATAAAGGAATAAAGTAAGGCAGGGACCAACTCTAGGTATCTATTTTAGCGGGTTCTCCATCTTATACAGGTGTTCGTTAAGAGAGAGTCGACTGTATATGTATGAGCCAAAGGCGCTCTCCCGCGGGGAGGGGAGCCTGGAATGGCAATGTAAAGAATTAAAGATCGAGTGAGCATATTAACAAGAGGCATAGTGTTATTATCATTATTTTATTTTTATTTTTGTCGATAAAAAAGTGATAAGTTGTATCGCGGCAAGGAAGCTGTCTAATGAATGTAACCGTTGTATCTGTCCTATACTGGTCGTCTGACAAAGCAGCAATGAATCGCTATTGCACATTAACATACTAGAAAATACACTACACAACTGCGTTCGAAAGCGGACATTTCCTAAAGTCAATAAATTTTATTACAGCCGCCGTAGGAGTTCTGATCATTAACGAACGTTTCCACTCGTCATTTCATAGCTGTTTTCAAATAGGGTACCGTAAAATTCCGAAAATAAGCCCCGAGGCTTATATTTTTCAAAGGCCCTTTCGGAGGGGCTTATATTCGGAGGGGCTTATCTACGGAGGGAAATTTGCGTTTCGAAATCGATTGGGCTAGCTTGTAGTGGGAAGGAAATTTACCATTTTTGCCTTGTTTTACTTTGTATTCGAGGGCAAATTCTAAGTACAAGCCCACTCGGGGGCTTATATTCGGAGAGGCGATTTAATAAAGGGTTTTTTGCGTTACGATTTTGGGGGGCTTATAATTGGAGGGGGCTTATACACTGAGGGGCTTATTTTCGCAATTTTGCGGGTATTAATGCATAAGCCGTTTAATGATGTCTCAGACAGGTCTCATAACTTTTTACTTTTACCTTTTTTTTTCTTTTATTCCAAAGGATCTGGTTTAACTCCTCAAATACAACTCACATTAGCAATACCAAGCACTACAACTGTAGGATCCAGGAATTTCTTATTACTCAAAACCTTTGCACGAAAACTTGTACAAGAATTCAGTGTGTCTCCCTCAGGGACAAGGGTTGCCATTGTGACTTATTCACAAGACCCACACCTGGATTTCAGCTGGCATGAATTTTTTAACATGGAATGCACGTTGAAAGCCATCTCATCTATTAGGTAAATAGCTCAAACTGTTAAAAAAAACAGTAATGTATATAGTATACTATCTAGATAAATTATAGTGTGACTTGTGAATGGTGAATATTTACCAACACTTGTTTGTCCTGAAAACGATCGTCAAAATTCAATATGACGTTTCAACACCCTCTGTCTCTCTGAGTTAAGAGCAATTTTATAGCCCCCACTATCTCTAACTTATTTTGAGACAGCTTACTAACTCGCAGGTCACAAAATAAAATCAGTAATGTATTTAGCAGTGATTTCCATCCAAGATGTTCTTTCTCTACAGATTTGCGGCTGGACGAAGTGCCTCTTTAGATCACCTTCTCCACTTCCTAACATCAAACCTGTATTCACAACCAAAAAAAGAGAAGCTAAAAGCCCAACAACTACTTTTTCTTATTGCGGAGAGTAATTCATTTGATTCTTCAGCATTGACTGCTCTTCGTGCCGCCAAAACATTGGCAGACAATGGGGTGGAGGTGTTTGTTTTTAAAGTTGGCGGCAAGCAGGTGATCGATCTAAGCAAAGTTGCAAGTGAGCCATTGGATACCCACGTTTTCCAAGTTAACGACTTTAAAGATCTCTTAAAGGCATCAAAGGCTTTTAATGGCAAAGGTAAATAAGTTTTAACTAAGAACGTGCGAATCTTTGAGTTTATCAAGCCGTGTAAACCTTAAATTAGTGGTACAATGTCCCGCAGATATAACTCCTATATTATTTCGTTTACAAGAAATGACACAATTACTTTCCGCTAAAAGGAGATTGCTTCATGCGATACATAATAATTAAATTACAAACAATTTGGAGGAGATCCCTTTAGTATTTATAATCAATAATCTCCCTAATTAAGAATACTCTCAGGAACCATAATTGAGGAAGGAGACTGCAACTAGCACCTTTTCCAGTAATAGGGTTGGTTCGATCGAAATAGCCAAATGTGCTATTTTTAGCACAAATTGTGCCATCTCGTGTGACAAGCGCGCGCATTTTTCTGCGAGGACGCCACGCAAAAGATAACCAGACAAAATGGCGTCGGAAATTACCTCCGTAAGAGATGAATAAATTCAATTTTTGTCATAATTGCTTCCTCTGAATTTGAGGCAACACCTTGAGGTGAACCTCTTTGACAATAGCTCTAAATGTGGGGAATGTGAATGTAATTCTGCTTAATTATGTTAAACACCGCGGTGAGAGTGACAAAGAGATGTCGTGCGATGGTGAATAGACTGATTTACCAACAGGACGGGAAAGTCAGTTGACGACGAGAAAGCGCACGGAAAGGACTAAACACGACTTCCTGTGCTCAGTTTGCCGCTCTGCCATTGGTCAAGCCAGTTGTTTGATTTGCGCACGCCGTCGTCCACTGACGTTCCCGTTCTGTTGCTAAATCAGCCTCACCCTAATATCCCGTTCGGACGAAACAAACAGTCAAAACAAAAAGTGCGGAGAAAAGGAGGGCGGGACGTTAACAGCAACAACAACAAAAAAATTATAACTAATTTTCTTAAATTCTTTGAATTCATAACAAATACAGCTCCACAAGTTTCAAACAGTATCTACCGTCAGAATTTCATGGAAATAATACTTTTAAATATAATAATTTTCCCAGTTGAAGATATCCTTGGCAGCGTGGCGCAGTGGTCTAGGAGCTGACCTTCCGCGCAGATGTGCCAGGTTCGATTCTCGCTTAAGCCGTTTTTTCTTTGTTGTATATATTTTTTCGTTTTATTTTTGTTTTGTTTTTAATCATATTTTTCCCCTTGGCTTCTTTCCCTTTATTTTTACTTCTGGCCCATTACAGCCTCGCGAGGTTTTTTGGGATAAAAAACTGTGTATGCATTGCCTATCAAGATATGAACCACTTGGAAAGATATAAAACACTCAAATAAAGTTGTAAAACGATCGCCCATCTCCTGAAATTCCATACAAGAGCCACGCCATCTCTTGGGTTCCCGTGAGAGTTTGTGACGTTGAGTGTGGTGCAGTTTGTTCTAAAAAGAGCTCATTTGGCTATTTCGATAGAACCGCGTGGACCCCTCACTTCCGGTATGCTACCTGATTATGGCTCCTGATACTCTTTTAGGATTCAATCACACTTGTTCTGGTGAAGGAATAGTTTACGATGAATGTAATCGCCGCTGCCATTGTAAAGTTGGAAGACCCAGCGATTGTTACAGAATACGAAAGGAATTCACAGAAATGTCCTTTAGGGAACGGCGTCGTTACGTGAGGGCCTTTAAAGCAATATCTACTGAAGACCCTTATAACAGGACCTACGATGCTCTCACTGCCCTTCACCCCATTTTTTTCAAAGTAATTCACGAGAAAAAGTTTTTTTTTCCTTGGCATCGCTGGTATCTGTACGAATTTGAAAATCTTCTTCGTCGAGTGGACTGCCGCGTGACGGTGCCATATTGGAATTGGGCACGTGCTGTCTCAGAAAACCGCCTGTGGCGCCACACGGGATTACGAGATATCTGGAATCCGGAGACTCACGGCTTTGGTGGCAATGGTGACTCTAGATCTGGTTGCGTTCAAAGTGGACCTTTCAAAGAAGGAAAGTGGTCGCTACCAACATGGTTAAATTCAGAATGTCTTTCCAGAGAATTTGATTATGACACCGATTTGCCAGGCCAACGATTTGTTAATAATCTAAATCGAATAACTTGGAGTCGGTTTAGCAGGTTTGAAGCTGCTGTTAACCGTATGCACAATGATTTTCATGATGCCATCGGCGGAACAATGTCTGAAGATGAATCTGCCGTTGCACCTGAATTCTGGTGTCACCACGCCTTCCTGGATAAAATCTGGTCCAACTGGCAAGATCGTGGCCCTAAATACAAATTTGCATATTATCGGAGTATAAACAGGACACTACCTGGGGGGACACACTTTGGAAGGGAGTTCATGGACCTTCGATATCAGCCGCAATGTGTAAGGGTCCTATATGAAGAGACACGAGAAGTATAAACTACAAACAGAAGGATGACTGACAATAAAAAGGATGATGCTGATAACGGTTTAGACGACGATGATGATGATCAGCATCAGCATCATCATCATCATCATCATCATCATCATTTTATTACTTATAACGCGTAAATTCGCATGTGTATATGTTGAACGCCAGAGGACATAGTGTCGCCAGAGGACATAGTGTCATTCACGGTAACTGAGAATACCAAAACTCTAGCCCACTTTATTTTATATAATTTATCTATTTATTGCCAATGCCTGGTAACATTTGTCTGTCGTATTTTTACATTTATTTAAGCAAAATCTGGATCAAGGACGTCCGCTGCTATGAATCATTACTACTAAAAATACAAAACATTTTTTAAAATGTTTGAATTTAAAAAGTTTAAAAAGTTAAAAGCCAAGTGCAGAAAATTCGTTTTAAGAAATACTTTTAAGGATTATTCTTTACAACTGATTCAAACTAAAAAAATCCTGGATCTGGGATGTAACGCTAACTTAAGCCTAACAATAGCTTTAGGGTCAGGGTTAGGGTTATGGGTAAGTTAGGGTTACATCCAACTTCCACGATTTTTAATTCAAATCAGTTTTAAAGATTAATCCTTAAAAGTCTTTGTCAAAGCGAATCTTTTGAACTTGGTTTCAAACTTTAAACGCTAATGGTTTTCCCAGGAGCTTACTCCAAAGTTGATCGTAAGGCTAGTCCTAGGGTTAGGTTTAGGGTTAAGGTTAAGTTATGGTTACATCCAAGATCCAAGATTTTTAATTCAAACAGTTTGAAAGACAAATACCTAAAACTCTTTGATAAAACGAATCTTTTGCACTTAGTTTCAAACTTTAAACCCTAATGGTTTTCCCAGGACCTTACCCTAACCTAGTCCTAAGGTTAGGAATAAGTTAAGTTAGGGTTACATCCAAGATCCAATATTTTTTAATTCAAATCACTTTTAAGGATGAATCCCTAAAAGTCTTTGTCAAAACGAATCTTTTGCCCTTAGTTGCAAAATTTAAACGCTAATGGTTTTCCCAGGAGCTTACACCAACCTTAACACTAGGGTTAGACCCAGGGTTACGGTTAGGGTTAGGGTTAAGTCAAGGTTACATCCAACATCCAAAATTTTTTAATTCAAATTAGTTTTAAAGATCAATCCCTAAAAGTCTTGGTCGAAACGAATCTTTTGCACTTAGATTCAAACTTTAAACGCTAATAGTTTTCCCAGGACCTTACCCCAACCGTAACCCTAAGGCTAGATCTAGGGTTAGGACTAGGGTTAAGATCCAGTATATTTAACTCAAATCAGTTTTAAAGATCAATCGTTAAAAGTCTTTGTTAAAACGAATCTCTTGCCCTAAGTCGCAAACTTTAAACGCTAATGCTTTTCCCAGGAACTTTATACCCCAACCTTAATCGTAAGCCTAGTCCTACGGTTAGGGTTAAGTTAGGGTTATATCCAAGATCCAATATTTTTTAATTCAAACCAGTTTTAAATATCAGTCGTTAAAAGTCTTAGTTTTAAGTCTTGCTCTTATTTTCAAACCTTAAACGCTAATGGTTTTCCCAGGAGCTTGCCCCAACCCTAACGCTCAGGCTGGGCCTAACTTTAGGGTTAGGATTAAGCTAACCTTAATCTTAATTCAAATCAGTTTTCAATATTAATCGTTAAAAGCCTTTGTCAAAACGAATCTTTTGGCCTTAGCTGCAAAATTTAAACGCCAATGGTTTCCCCGGATCTTACCCCTACCTTAACCAAAGGGTTAGGGTTAGGGTTAGGGTTAAAATAGGGTTACATCAATGATCCAAGATTTTTTCATCCAAATCACTTTTAAAGACAAATACCTACAAGTCTTTAATAAAACTAATCTTTTGCCCTTATTTTCAAACTTGAAACGCTAATGGTTTTCCCAGGAGCTTACCCTAACCCTAACCCTTACCCTAAGTTCTAGGGCTAGGGTTAGGGTTAGGGTTAAGGTGAGGTTACATCAAAGATCCAAGATTTTTTTAATTAAAATCACTTTTAAAGATGAATACCTAAAAGTCTTGGTCAAAACGAATCTTTTGCAGTTTGTTTCAAACTTTAAATGCTAATGGTTTTTCCAGGTGCCTACCCCTACACTAACCCTAAGGCTTGGCCTAGGGTTAGGGTTAGGATTAGGCTTAACGTAAGGTTATATCAAAGATCCAAGATTTCTTAATTCAAATGAGTTTTAAAGATGAATACCTAAAAGTCTTGGTCAAAACGAATCTTTTGCATTTTGGTTTTAAACGCTAATGGTTTTTTCAGAAGCTTAACCGAACCTTAACCCTAAGGCTAGACCAAAGGTTAGGGTTAGGGTTAGGGTTAAGTTAGGGTTACATCGAAGATCCAAGATTTTTAAATTTAAATCACTTTTAAAGATGAATCCCTAAAAGTCTTTGTCCAAACGAATCGTTTGCCCTATGTTGCAAAATTCAAACGCTAATGGTTTTCCCAGGACCTTAACCTAACCCTAACCCTAAGGCTAGACCAAGGGTTAGGGTTAGGATTACGTGATTTTTACATCCAAGATCCATTATTTTTTTATTCAAATCAGTTTTAAAGATGAATTCCTAAAGGACTTTCTCCAAACGAATGTTCTGCACTAGGCTTCAAACCTTAATCGCCAATGGTGTTCTTACGAGCTTACCTCAACTTTAACCCTAAGGCTTGGCCTAGGGTTAGGGTTAAGTTAGGGTTACATCCAAGATCCAAGGTTTTTTAATTCAAATCAGTTTTAAAGATGAATCCCCAAAAGTCTTTGCCAAAAAGAATCTTTTGCACTTTGTTTAAAACTTTAAACGCCAATTATTTTTCATGGAGATTACCCAAACCTTAACCGGAAGGCTTGGCCTAAGGTTAGGGTTAGGGTAAAATGAGGTTATATCAAAGATCCAAGGTTTTTTAATTCAAATCACTTTTAAAGATGAATACCTAAAAGTCTTGGTGAAAACGAACCTTTTGTACTTGGTTTCAAACTTTAGACGCTAATGTTTTTCCCTTGGAGGTTACCCCAACCTCCACCCTAAGACTAGGCCTAGAGTTATTTAATCCAGAGGAATTTAAATTGGCCACAGAAAAACTATTACTTTGGCTTTGACGACGGGTATCGTGGTACGGCAATATAAGATTTTACGAGATTAAAGCCAAGTGCAGAAAATTCGTTTTAAGAAATACTTTTAAGGATTATTCTTTACAACTGATTCAAACTAAAAAAATCCTGGATCTGGGATGTAACGCTAACTTAAGCCTAACAATAGCTTTAGGGTCAGGGTTAGGGTTATGGGTAAGTTAGGGTTACATCCAACTTCCACGATTTTTAATTCAAATCAGTTTTAAAGATTAATCCTTAAAAGTCTTTGTCAAAGCGAATCTTTTGAACTTGGTTTCAAACTTTAAACGCTAATGGTTTTACCAGGAGCTTACTCCAAAGTTGATCGTAAGGCTAGTCCTAGGGTTAGGTTTAGGGTTAAGGTTAAGTTATGGTTACATCCAAGATCCAAGATTTTTAATTCAAACAGTTTGAAAGACAAATACCTAAAACTCTTTGATAAAACGAATCCTTTGCACTTAGTTTCAAACTTAAAACCCTAATGGTTTTCCAAGGACCTTACCCTAACCTAGTCCTAAGGTTAGGAATAAGCTAAGTTAGGGTTACATCCAAGATCCAATATTTTTTAATTCAAATCACTTTTAAGGATGAATCCCTAAAAGTCTTTGTCAAAACGAATCTTTTGCCCTTAGTTGCAAAATTTAAACGCTAATGGTTTTCCCAGGAGCTTACACCAACCTTAACACTAGGGCTAGACCCAGGGTTACGGTTAGGGTTAGGGTTAAGTCAAGGTTACATCCAACATCCAAAATTTTTTAATTCAAATTAGTTTTAAAGATCAATCCCTAAAAGTCTTGGTCGAAACGAATCTTTTGCACTTAGATTCAAACTTTAAACGCTAATAGTTTTCCCAGGACCTTACCCCAACCGTAACCCTAAGGCTAGATCTAGGGTTAGGACTAGGGTTAAGATCCAGTATATTTAACTCATATCAGTTTTAAAGATCAATCGTTAAAAGTCTTTGTTAAAACGAATCTCTTGCCCTTAGTCGCAAACTTTAAACGCTAGTGCTTTTCCCAGGAACTTTATACCCCAACCTTAATCGTAAGCCTAGTCCTACGGTTAGGGTTAAGTTAGGGTTATATCCAAGATCCAATATTTTTTAATTCAAACCAGTTTTAAAGATCAGTCGTTAAAAGTCTTAGTTTTAAGTCTTGCTCTTATTTTCAAACCTTAAACGCTAATGGTTTTCCCAGGAGCTTACCCCAACCCTAACGCTCAGGCTAGGCCTAACTTTAGGGTTAGGATTAAGCTAACCTTAATCTTAATTCAAATCAGTTTTCAATATTAATCGTTAAAAGCCTTTGTCAAAACGAATCTTTTGGCCTTAGCTGCAAAATTTAAACGCCAGTGGTTTCCCCGGATCTTACCCCTACCTTAACCCAAAGGGTTAGGGTTAGGGTTAGGGTTAAAATAGGGTTACATCAATGATCCAAGATTTTTTCATCCAAGTCACTTTTAAAGACAAATACCTACAAGTCTTTAATAAAACTAATCTTTTGCCCTTATTTTCAAACTTGAAACGCTAATGGTTTTCCCAGGAGCTTACCCTAACCCTAACCCTAAGTTCTAGGGCTAGGGTTAGGGTTAGGGTTAAGGTGAGGTTATATCAAAGATCCAAGATTTTTTTAATTAAAATCACTTTTAAAGATGAATACCTAAAAGTCTTGGTCAAAACGAATCTTTTGCAGTTTGTTTCAAACTTTAAATGCTAATGGTTTTTCCAGGTGCCTACCCCTACACTAACCCTAAGGCTTGGCCTAGGGTTAGGGTTAGGATTAGGCTTAAGGTAAGGTTATATCAAAGATCCAAGATTTCTTAATTCAAATGAGTTTTAAAGATGAATACCTAAAAGTCTTGGTCAAAAC